CGGCCTACAGGTGGATTCAGACAGAACTTTATCAGCCTACGGTTGGAATTAGACACAACTTTGTTGGCCTACGGTTAGATTCAGACAGAATTTTGTCGGCCTACAGTCGGATTTAGACAGAACTTTGTCAGCCTACAGTCAGGTAAGATAAAACTTTGTCGGGCTACAGATGGGTTCAGACAGATCTTTGCTGAGCTGGAATCAATTTCAGACAGAATTTTGTTGCACTACAGTTGGGTTCTGACATTTTTGTCTGGCTATAGTTAAGCTCAGACAGAACTCTGTCAGGCTACAGACGGGTTCAGACAGAATTTTGTTGCATTTCAAGCATGTCCAGCAATACAAAAGAAGCTGATCAACTCAAACCCAAAATATAGTGTTGGCAAAAAGCACCAAAACACAACGAAACAAAAAGTACAAACACATCAGTTTGGCCATCAGTGGGTCCTGAAGGAAACTATTCAACACCGTCATGATCACCACATCTCTTTTTTTAAATACCAATGATAATATTGCCCCACTGGATTTCTGAAAAAGACCCATCAGTTATTTTAAACAATTAACATGGCCCAACAACAATACTCAATCTATCTAATGTAGGGGCTAGGCAGAGCAGACGGAGCGTCATACTGTACTGGGTCTTTCTGATCTCAGGCCTGTGCAGGGTGAGTGCAATGTGCTGCTGTTCTATCTGATCCTGTGCATGCCTGTAATTGTGTTGTGGCTGATGAATTATTGAGATAGAGTAAGAGGTTTCCCATGTTTGAAGATGTGCCAAGAGCCCTCGCCTACCCACTTCTGCCCTCTCTCCTTTCTTACCATATCTCTCTCGCCCATGCTACACTCACTCTCTCTCTCTCCCACACACACACAAACAAAAAATATGCATACACATATTTCACATTATCATGCAAATACATATACTTAAAACGCAAAACATAAACATCCACAAAATCCATGCTGACCTTGAAAATGAAGCAAACAGAAAATGGATGAAGAGATAAGAGATGCTGTATAACTATGAGATAAATACTTCATAACTGTACAAACAACAAGAATGGCACTTTGCCAAATGCAAGCCTCCCTAAAATGGAACACAAAGTTTGTTTTTGCGCATGACCTCCTGTGTTCCTTATCCCTCAGTAAGCTGCTGAGTCATTACCTGTAATTCTAAATCACATTCACTTTAGCGGCTCAGGAAACAGGAGAGAAATATCACCCAGCACAGGAAGGGCCGCTTTCTGTTTTCCTAGACTGGCCTGCTCTCTTGTAATTCATTTTAACATGACTATTTTCCAACCTCTGTTTACCCCTTAGAATTAAACAAGCCGTTTTTGTTTAGGTTGCCTTTAAGATTGACATATTGTTGCTGTCACACAAAAATATTGTATCTCCACTTTATAACATAATTTATAAACTCCAGTTACTCTTTGCATTGTGTTAAAATTTCACAACGAACGGACAAATAGAAATGACTTCAAAAAATGTAGTTACATTTAAGTTCCATTGTAAGTTAAGCAGCTCTTTTCTTCTACTTAAAGTTGGAGATCCGAAGTGTTGTTCAGAAGGGGCGATATGCAAATGACCTCTGTTCTGATTGGCTGCCCTGTATTTTGCTTCATTTAAAAAAAACAGTCTGGACTGAAACACTCCTCATTCAGCATGAATGGGAGGGGTTAATTTGTTGTATGCTGAATATTTGCATAGATATAAATGTGTTGGTGTTTGTGACATCACAAAAACAATGGATTCAAAACAGGGTGTTTTTTTTCAGTATAGTTTTCATATTTGGACTACATAGACAGAGTGAGAGGTATATTTTAAAACGTTTGTAATGTTAACATACAAAACCCAAGCCTTTAATTTAAAAATAAGAATAAATCAGTTTTCCATAATAGTTGACCTTAAATACTCATCTGAAAGTAGAATGATAATGTGAATAGACTTCTTAGTATCAAAGTGAGTGACAACCAGCCCCAGACTGCATGAGGTGCATTTGGGACAAATAACCTGTTCTATCTGTGGCAGCAGATACACTGGAAGACCTGTGTGGTAAGACTACTGGAGATGGGTTTTTAAGCATTTTTCAGAAATCCAGTATAATGTTATAATGGGAGCAAGGCAAACGTTTGAGCACCTGTGGTTAAATTATGTTTTTGTAATGCAACACAACAAAGAGGCTTTTGAGGCTGAAATGTGATCCAAGCTCATGGTCAAAAAACATGCACAGGTCAGATCCGAAACAATCCAAAAAGACACGAGGAAAGGCAAAACAGAGTCAGGCAACCAAGATAAAAAGGGTAAAGGCAAAAATCAGAGTCGAAAGTCCAAAAACACAGTCCAGATACACAAGAGGCAAAACCCATATAGAACACTCAGTAGCTCAAGGAAATTCAGCAATACCTCACAATTTGCTAAGCTAAATGCCTGGGCTTATATACTAACTGGCTAGACAAAAACAGGTGTAACGGATTATTATTCAGGTGAGGGAGAGTGTTGATTGGTTGTTGTTGGCTGATCAGCGGTCATGTGATCTCCAAGAGAGTTCTTGGAAGTGTAGTTCTCAGATCCAGAGGAATGCATGACAGTTTTATTGATTTTCTCTACTGAGAACACAGTTCTGAACATTTTAATACACAATTACTGTTGATTCATTTAATTTAACATAGGCCAAAGTTTTATTACACACTTCTATAACCTAAGAATTGCTCAACCAGTTTGCATTGAAGTCCCTGTAGTAACTAAATAATAAGTCTTAGTATACAATAAACCTGGGATTTTTAAGGAATTCAAAAATAGAAATTCGGCACTAGATGCCGTACTTAAGTGTGTTCTATGTAGAGGATGTGTTAACTAATTTTCAGAAATTAGAAATTCGACAAAATATGTAATTCGACCAGGGGTGTTCAAACTTTTGCACTGAATACGAGGCTGTGGAACCACTGAGTTGATGCTAAAACAGGCCTAAATGCACAGCAGGTTGAGAGCAATGAATGTACTCAGTTCCTAAATTTAACATTTGCAAGCAAAACAGCAAAATTGTGATGAGATATTTTTGATAAGAATTCTTTGCTGAAATTGAAGCTAAAATATCATTGCCCTCCAAAAAACGTATCTCCATGATAAATGGAATAAAATCTCATTACATTAACTTACAATAAAAGTTAAAATGTTTTTGCCTTCTCTTGTAAAGTTGCTACTTTGGAGTTGCATGGTTTTTTGGACAGTAATGCTCAGCATAACAGCTCTTTTCATATTTTTTCATTATTTTATGCATTTTAAAATTAATGTGGCATGGCAGTGTAGAGCTATTTACATATTAATATCATAAACAGAGTCAATCTGACTCATTCTAATGCCTGTCAAAAAGGTGATTAATACTAGAGGTTAACTCAGCCTTATAATATAATCCACTTAGTTCATCAATGTATTTTTACACCACACCCCCATACAGCTTTTTTTATTTAACCCTATATGACCTAATGTCACATCAGCGATTAGTTCTCTTTGCCTTTTTCCATTTGTCTTTGTATTCTTCCCTTTTAAACTGATTAAAATCTGCCCCCAAAGTAATTGGTGAGCATGCACGTCCATGTTGGTCATTAAAATGGATCAGCATGTGGAATTGGAGCTTTCCTCCAATGGATGTTTCCTATCACTGTATAAAAGAAGCTCCATGCTGCCTTTATTGTATATTTTTGTCTAATTCTTTATTGTAATTTACACCACTAAGGGCTTATTTTATCTTTTTTTGTAAGCTTAGTTGTTTTACTTTTTTATTTCTTTACTAAACTGCTCAGTACATATATTTGATTGCTTTGATTTGTTCATTTTATTTGCCTTAAAGTTTTCTCTTTTTTTATTTGTCTTATATATTGTTTTAATATATTTTGGCCTTATTTATTTTCTTTACTATGCTTTTACTAAAAATATACTCACTGAGCACTTTATTAGGAACACTATACTAATACTGGGTAGGACCTCCCTTAGCTCTCAAAACAGCCTCAATTCTTCATGCATGGATTCCTCAAGATGTTGGAAACATTCCCTTTGGATTTTGCTCCATGTTGACATGAATGCATCATGCAATTCCTGCAGATTTTTCAGTTGAGCTTTCATATTGTGAATCTCCTGTTCTACCACAACCCGAAGGTGTTCAGGGGTTAAGATCTGGTGACTGGGAAGGCCACTGAAGAACACTGAACTCATTCTCAAGTTCATAAAACCAGTTTCAGATGACTTTTGCTTTGTGACATGGTGCATTTTCATGCTGGAAGTAGCCATTAGTAGATGGTAAATTGTGGCCATGCAGGGATGCAAATGGTCAGCAACAATACTCTTTGTTTGACTGGTATTAATGGACACAAAATCTGCCAAGAAAACATTTATCATTACACCACCTCCACCAGCCTGGACTGTTGATAGGCAGGTTGTGTCCATGAATTTATGCTTTTGGCAACAAATTCTGACCCTACCATCTGTGTGCCTTAACAGAATTTGAGATTCATCAGACCAGGCTATGGTTTTCCAGTCTTCAACTGTCCAGTTTTGGCTTCCACAGTTTGCATGTTGTATTTTCTGTGGTTATTACTGTTATGACAAAAAAAGTCTATTTGACAACAGTTAACATCTTTACATGGTTTACGGCAACTGTGTGAGCTTCATTAACACCAAACATGTCTTGGAAAACTGATTACATTTGAGGAAAATTTGTATAAATTAGATTTTTTGCAAAACTAGTCCATTGAAGTTTATTATTCAGCAAGTATTATGACAGTAATATGTAAATTAAGTACATTATGTGTAAGGCAGCTTCTCAGGTGGTATGAGGTGAAACAAAAATGCAGAAATCGCTCTGTTGACTAAGGCTAACTCCATGTCTGCTGCCACCAAAACAAAGTGGACTACTTCAAATATGATGGACAAGGGGGAGGTGACTGAGGGTCTGTTGTATTTTCATTTTCATTTGAAATGTGACTGAATGACTAGTTTTTCTGTACCTTGGCTTTGTCTTCAGGTGGTTTTTGTGGTTCTTGTGGAGAACTCTCCGCTGAATCTGACGTGTCCTCCTCCGACACTGCAATCAGTCAGAATATCACCAAATTAAACCGACAGCTTAAAATGACAGTAGAGAAGAAATAACATGGAAATCACAAGTTATATTTCACACATAAGTCAAACTATGAACCTGAACATGTGTAACAGAAAGCATTCTGAACTACAAATGACTTTACATCAGAAACATTCATCTTACTTGACTTCCTTGCTTTCCTTGCCAGCGCTGCAGCTAGTTCATTTTGAACCTGTGGAGAAGAAGAAAAAGAAAGGTTTCCAGAAAAAAGAAATGTTTCTGCTATTAGAGATGAGGGGCACAAAACATGTTTAATTTCAGCGATGGCGTACTGCACTCAGGGGGAGTGCATCTGCAGTGTTTAAGAAAGAGCTTGAACACGAAAGCAAATGTTGAAAAATTAAAAACACACTCTGAAAAGGCCCAGAGTGCTACGGTAATTAAAGCTCAACAGTTCCCCTTAATGGAGAAGTGCTGTAGAAGTTTCTCTTCACAGGACTTCTGGGCCTGTGGAGCTTGCAGTGCACCACGGGACACTAGCACTGATCGACTTCCCTTTGAAATGTTAAAAGCTACAAGAAGCCCATATGGCCCAATCCTGCAGCCCTGCTCTGGTCAGCCTTTGCAGAAACGGGGATACACAGAGTGGGTCACTAAAGTGATACAGGGCTGGATTTTCTATACATAAAGTCATATGCAAAACTAACTTAAATATGGCACTGATCTTTATTTTCTAAGTTTAACATATTGGAAAATAATAAAAGATCAATTATAAAATGTGCTACAGCTTCTGCACAGGCCACATTTTTTCTGATATGTTAATTTCAGCAAATAAACAGTAATATATGTGTTATAAAGAGTCTGAGAGGGTAATGGCAGTATATTTCTCCTGCTGTTCTGTGTTTGGAAGCTCATTGCTATGCAGTGCAGTATGGCAGTGAGGTCTGTGTGTGGGCTGTGCTATAGGACAGTTGCTGAGAGAGAGAGGGGGAGATAAGTATGAGTGATTCTATCTCTGCCCCAGTGGCAGTGAGCACACAGCTCTGTGACAGATGGTCCTGCTTGGGTTCAAAAGGCAGCCATGAGCTTAACTGTACAGCTACACAAACAGTGGGTCAGCAGCGTCCTGCACTGACCACTGATCCAAACACAGACACAGACACACACAAACATTTAGGTTCCTGATTTTGAGTTAAAGTGGAAGAGCATTTTATTTGGGGGGTGGGGGGGTATTTGATGTTAAATGTCTTTTATGTGTTTATGTGTTTAATAATATAGGGGTGAGATGTAATGAAGTGCGGTGCTGTGTTTGTTATTGTCAACATTGTGGAAGTGTTGTGGTGCAGTGCATCTGGTGCAAATATTTCGATATAATCAGCCAAAATCTTAAAGAAATAGGACATTATTTTGACATAATCGGTCAAAATCTTGTGAAATTAGGATGATATTCCCCACATAATCAGTCAAAATCTAAAGCAGACACCATTTAAACATAATCAGTTAAAATTTGATGAAAATAAGACATTAGTTTGAATTATTCAGTCGAAATATTAAGAAAATCAGTTACTATTTTGACATAATTAGTCACAATCTCAAAGAAAATAAACCATTATAATCAGTCAATTCCTTGAGATAATAAGATATTATTTTGACAAATTAGCTGTTAGAGGCCGCAAATTATCTTATGCTAGATGCCTTATATACAGTACATGTGTTGCACTCTATGTAACAATGTTTATCTGTATTGTCCCTGTCAAATAAACAAAAAAATAAAAGAAATAAAAACATATTTAGTCTGAATATCCAGAAAATGTCACTATTTTGACAAAATGAGTCTCAAAAAGTAAGTCATTATTTCAACAAAATCAGTCAAATCTTGAGAAAAAAAACATAATTCTGACATAATCAGCCAAAATATGACAAAAATAAGTCATTATTTCAACATAATGAGACAAAATAATTCATTATTTTAAGACAATGGTCAAAATCTTGAGAAAACAAGTCAGTATTTTTACCTTAGACAAAATCTATAAAAAAAGGGATTATTTTGACATAATCACTAAAACTGTAACTAAGTCATTGTGTTAAGATGAAAACTCTAACTTTTAACATAATAATGTCTACATACGTCTGTCAGAAATAGTGGAGGGTAAACTGGTTATTTTTTCTCCTTAATCCGGCAGGAATGGGCCTCCAAATGAATCTCCTATTCTGTGTAGTGACAGGCCTCGGTGCTGCTTACTTGTCCTAGAAAAGATCACTGATCTCCTGAACAAAACTGTGTGTGGGGGGGTGGGGGGCTGCTCCTATCGCTCCGCTGTTCAGGCACCTATGCACACACGCAGTCACTGACTCACCGTGGATGTAAGTCGTTCCAGAGCCTTCATCTGGAGAATCTCACTGCAGATATCCCGCTTTCCCTCAGGATCCTCTTCAGGACTGGAAAAACACCAACATCACAACTCGATAAGCTGTTTTGAAAGGACAATGAGAATTATCTCTTATAAGAGTAAAATCAACCAAGATACGGCCTAATAGACATACGGAGCTTTAACTGACACACACTGACGTTTGCCTTTGTATAGTTTCAGGATGTGAGGTCATACATATGTCCCACATATCACTATATGTCCAAAAGTCTGTAGACACCTGCTCAACTCAGCGATTCTTCTAAAATGAAGGGTAATAATGAGGAGTTTGTCCTTCTTTGCTGCAGTGACAGCCTCTACTCTTCTGGGAAGACTAGATGTTGGAACATTGCTGTGAGGATGTGATTGAGCATTAGTGAGGTCAGGTGCTGATGTTGGATGATCAGTTCTGGAACACTCCAACTCTTCCCAAAGGATGGAGCTCCATCACTACAGGGAACACAGTTCCACTGCTCCACGGCCCAGTACTGGAGGAGCTTTATACCCTTCTGGCAGACATTTGTCATTGGGCATGGTGACCTTAGGCTCATGTGTGGCTGCTCCAGAGCGTCATTCTATTGCCAATGCTTTTCTATGGAGATTATTCTAGGTATGTGTGCGCAAGGGTGCACCTTCAACCTAACCTTCAAGGACCCATTTCCTATATTTTTCTTTCATTTTATCCACCAATAACATCTGCATGAGTTTATGTGCCAAAAACAGTTCAAATTTATTTTTACTTCATTTTAGAATTAAACAGGCTGTTTTTGTTATTGTGTTTTTAAGAGCAATATTTGTTTATGAGTTCAGACCATGCCTTCAACATGGCGGTGGTAGTATGAGGGAAGACTGATTGAGGGAGGGGGGAGAACTCTGAGAATTTGGGCTGGAATTCTGGGCAGGTTTGCCTGTAGCTAGAAGGCCAGACCCCCTCATAGCTGTAGCAGGACTGATGTAGGACTGAGGAACAGGGAGGAGATGAGGTGGCGGTGGGGATTACGAACGCTCCGTCACGGGAACAGAAGGTAAGGATGTGAATTTATAGGCCGTTAGATTGGAAGAGGTTTAGGCATGTTCCTCCCCCCAAACTTCATTACTACATTATCTATCTATGTAATATCTCTGTTCTGATTGACTGACCTCTATTGGGTCTCATAAAAAAAGCAGTCAGAGCTGAAACACTCCTTATAGCTTTGACATAAATGGGCAGGGCTATATATGTAAATATAGAGTGAATTTAAAACAAGCTGTTTTCACAGCATAGTTTCCATACATTAACTTCTTGGACTGACAAATGAACGGTATGTTTTGAAACTTTCCAACAATTTTTGCACACATTAACAAATTTTTATTCGAAAAACATTGAGGATAATTGGGTTTTACATGATTTGGACCCTTTAATATTAATCTCAGTAAACATAAACTTCCTCTCAGTTTTACAATCATGAACCTTATATAAAAAGCACTTCACACAGTCAGGAGCATTTTGTTAGCTGCATTTGTCTCTAGTTTTCCAATAATTCCAGAACATTCTGGTCCTGAAAATGAACCAATACAAACACAGGGGGCATTCTCCAGTAATAACTGCCTCAGCTCTCTACTGCCCCCTGCTGATGTCGTACTGCAGTGCATGCCAAACTCTAGACTCAGCATGATAACCCTCAGACAGCCATTCATCTTCATTTTGACACACACACTTGACTCAAGCATGCATGAAAATATTCCTGTTTCTCCACCTCCAGAACACGGCCCATGGAGAATACTCTACACAGGCAAAAAAGTGCCTACAAGGGGAAAAAACACCATAAAGGAGGACAAAACAAACATTCAGAGCAGGGGAACAAGACTTCCTGGACCATTCCCACTCCACTTTACGAGCTGCAGTAGAGGGGCTGAAAATAGGGCAGTAAGTTAGAGAAGTGGGTCAAAGTTTCTCTCTCCAAATACTGTCATTCTTCATCATCACCCACTATGACAGTCCTTAATCACACGCTCCATCTCCTCTACTCCTCTCTACAGCCCTCTCTCACAGAACAGGAAGCTTCATTGAGCCTTGGGATTCTGGTGTTGAGGCCTAAGTGACAAAACTCTGTATATATATATATATATATATATATATATATAGGTTAACAGTGGCTTATGGCCCTGGCTGATGTCCCTTCGCTTTTTAATAAGAAGGATTTTTTAACAGTTAAATATTTTTATTGTGCAAAACAGTAAAAAAGAATATGTAGATAAACCTATGACAATTTTGCCTTCTAACACTCACACACACACACACATTTTCTAAGCCGCTTATCCTTCTGGGTCGTGGGGGGAGCTGGAGCCTATCCTAGCGTCACTGGGTGGAAGGCAGGAAACACCCTGGACAGGTCTGCAGTCCATCGCAGGGCAGACAGACAGACATATACATTCACACACACACACACACACACACACACACACACACACACCCCTAGGGGCAATTTAGCATACCCAATTGGTCTGACTGCATGTCTTTGGACTGTGGGAGGAAACTCCACACAGAAAGGACCCTGGTCGCCTGGCCTGGCAAAAACAGTGCTAAATATTATTTCATGTCTAAATTTCTACAAGGCTGAACTTGACCTCTTATTTGGCAGCTTTTTATTCAAGTATTGCACTCAACCTTAAATGACGCAGCGGTTCTATACTCTCAGGCGTCTGTAAAGGCTGAATGTAGCCTCAAGGTAACTGCTTCACCATTTAAGATGGAATGGGAAATTCGAATGAGCAGCTTTTGCTGTCACTTGTGTCATACATGTGGCTTATACGAACTGCCTCCGACCATCAGACACTGCTGAAATTAAGATAATACTACAGTCCTCAGTAACAGCTGGCTAACAGCTTTTTTCTTAGATAAGACCATAAGCTTGCAGCGTTGTGTGATACAGCTCCAGTTAGGCAACTTCACAGATGTTACGAGTGCAAACAAGTATGGCAATCAGTCTGGTGGCCAACTTTAGCTAAGGCTAACCTTGAAAGACCAGTCATTTCTTTATGTCCACTGCCTCAGCAGCAAAGTGGACAACTTCAGATGAAAAACACTAGACAGCGGGAGGTGATCGAGAGCCTGCTGTGCTTTCGTCATGACTGAAACATCCTTGACTCAGCCACTCAGCTAAATCAGACAGTGTTAGAATGGTTTGCACTTGTACGTTGCGTTATCTGTGCTTGTTTGTGGTATACCGTATAATAGTCACGACAAAACTCGCATCTGAGGAAGAATTTCAACTGGTATACCAAATGAACCAGTATACCACCCACTACTGCTCTCCTCGATCTTATTGATATTTTCTCTGTTATACTGGGCTTTCCTTTGTTCATATTATACATATTATGGAAGCAATAAATGCCAAAGGTGCAGTGTACATGAACGATCCTGGTGTTTAGAGTAAACACACACTACATCAATAGCATTCTGGAAACACACACACTGCTGTTACCTTTTACTGTATTATTGTTTTATTGTATTATTACTGATTATGTAACACCGTTGTATTCTATTACTACCCAACCTTGAAAATAATTGTGCTCTGAGCTTAATATGAACTTGCAATGTCACTCAGAAAAAAAAAATCACAGTGGACAACGCATTTCAAAACCATGAGCATTAACATGCAGTCGCCCCATATTTAGGCTTATGCGCAGCTGCCATGGAAACACATTTAACGAAGCTCCCAACATACAGTTCCTGTGCTGATGTTGCTTCCAGTGGCAGTTTGGAACTCTGTAGTCAGTGATGCAACAGAGGATTTTTATATGCTACATGCTTCAGCACTCGGCAGCCCTGCTCTCTGAGTTTGCGTGGTCTACCGCTTCATGGCTGAGCTGTTGTTGCTCCTAGATGCTTCAATTTCACAAAAATAGCACTTACAGTTGACCGGGGCAGATCCAGCAGGACAGAAATTTCACAAACTGGCTTGTGGCAAATGTGGTATCCTATGATAGTGCCACGTTTAAAGTCACTGAGCTCTTCAGTACGACCCATTCTACTGCAAATGCTTGTCTGTAGAGATTAAATGGCTATGCAGTAGATTTTATAAGCTGAAACAACTTGAGGTTGATAATTAGGAGGTCGATAATTAGGTCCACAAACTTTTGGCCATATAGTGTAAAAATCTTGAATCCTGAAATGTTCCATTTTTATTGTATGGTATATTTTAATTTTCTGCCAAACTATTCCACTGAATGATGACACATTCCTCTGTCATCTTTATTAAACTGGGATGTTTTATTATATTTTAATAAGGGAAGCAATAGTAGTCAAAAACAGACTATGGATTACTATATTCACGTACTACATTATCATTCAGCAGTCTTCTCACAGCACACACTCATTCACACCAGGCCGAAAGCTCCGTCTGACTCCCACAGCAGTTCTGGTGAAACTGGTAATGGCAAAGATAACATTCAAATTGCATGCAAATCGCAGGGAGCAGTTGGAAGACGTGTGCATGGAATATCCAAATAGCTTCTCCAGAAAGAGCACATAAGCCGGTGTGGCTCCGGGTGGCCTCGATGAGAGGAGACTATTGACACACAACAGAAAAACGTGCAAAGCACAAACACAAACGACAATCTCCCTGACAGCATTATGACTGACCGACAGAAGACGAATGAGGACTGTGTGGCGTATGGGTGTAAATGTCTGACCACACAATAATCTCTTGATTTCTTCAGAAAATACATTGAGATATCTTTGAGGAACTAATTAAACAGTGGAATATAGGCAGTAAGAACAATGAACTAAGGCTTCAGTTCAGCCTGAGAGCATTATTTTGTCCAAAAATAATATACTGACTATTATTATAATCAATTATAATCAATTCCAACAACCAAAAATGATGTAGTTGACTTGCCGATTTAACGAAATAACTGTTAACCAACAAGTAAGCAACTGTTTGACCAACGCTATTGTCAAATAAACATTATTTTCATGTTTTTTCATTGAATTTCCAATAACAGTTCATATTTGAATAAGTCAGCTTATAATTCAAAATGGAGAATATT